CAGCATCCAAGGCTGCACTCTCCACCTCTCAAAGCCAGTCAGGAACCTCGGCGTTTTGTTCGACCCTGAGCTGTCCTTTCTCCCTCACATCCGCACCACAACTGGCACCGCCTTCCATCACCTCCGGAACATCGCCAGACTACGGCACTACCTCACCCCTCACGCTGCTGAAACCCTGGTCCACGCCTTTGTCACCTCAAGGCTGGACTATGGGAACTCTCTCCTCGCCGGCCTTCCCGGCCCTCCCTCCACACTGCAGGTCATTCAGAACTCTGCAGCTCGTGTACTGTCCCGCACCAGGCTTCGCGATCACATCACTCCCACCCTCGCTCGCCTCCACTGGCTCCCCATCCCCCAGAGGATTGATTTCAAGATCCTCATCCTCACCTACAAGGCCATTCACGGCCTCGCTCCCTCCTACCTCTCCGACCTACTATCCCCCTACCTACCTGCCCGTACCCTCCGTTCCTCTGGCTCCGGTCTGCTCCACGTCCCCCGCCCCAACCGCCCTACCATCGGTGGTCGGGCCTTCAGCCTCTCAGCCCCGAGGCTCTGGAACTCCATCCCCCAGTGCCTTCGCCGCTTCCTCCCTTTCCTCCTTCAAGGCCGGTCTCAAAACCTTTCTCTTTGACCGTGCCTTCAGCTCCCCTCTCGACTCTCTTCCCCCTCCTCGCTCCCTCCCTTCCCTCCCCTTACCCTGACCATTTCCCCCCTCCTCGCTCCCTCCCTTCCCTCCCCTCACCCTGACCATTTCCCCCCTGCTCGGGTCATGACCCAACTGTGCAGCGCCTTGGGACGTCCTCCTGACGTGAAAGGCGCTTTATAAATGGAATCTTGTTGTTGTTGTTGTTGTTGTTAACTGCAGGTTTAATTGCGCTGAAGGAAAGTGACCCGCAATCTTTTAGTTGTAAATCTTTGCCTTCTATTGTGATCCACAACTGATTCTAATCATAATGAAACACCCCCACTCCAAAGTTTTACATTCTGTAAATAATTTATTTGTCGGTCTGTGTGATGATCAGACTGCCCCCATTTTACAGCTGAATTTTAAATAACAGAAGTGCTGCAAGGCTGTTGAAAGAATTAAAATGCTCCACCTGGCATACACAGATGCAGGATTAACCTTCCAACTGATTCTACTCAATCACACACACACATAATTTTGTCACTCAATCCACAACTATTTGTGGGACAGTACCATGCACAATTGGCTGTCGAGTTTCGCCCACAAAATACAGTCAAATCACTTTATGGTATGTTCTGTAAAGCGCTTTGAGACGTTATGATGATGTGGGAGGCAATATACCAAATGCAAGGATTATTATTGTAAATATTATTCGCACTTCCTTCCTCCCAGCAAGTCATCCCAATAACATAACTGTTCCAGTAAGACTGATTGGCCTCTTATTTTGAGGGGAGTCATTTATTTCATAATGAGATTTTGTTAGTCAGTTAAACCAATGTATGTTGAGGAACGATACCTTGCTTTTATTTGTTTCTTGTTAAGTCTGTATGAAAAACACTGCCTCTTTAAGAATGCTTCTTTGCCTAAACACCTTTGCAAAATCAACATCAGATTAATTGAATACATATTTAATTACAATTACCACCCAACTCATCCTTCCTATACCACATATATTATACATTCTTTTGAAGCTTATAATTTTAAAATCCAATGGGAATCCAGTGACATTGTATATGAAAATGTAACTCTTTATCTTTTACATAAGCTGCATGTGTGATAAAGTTGCCACAATTTTCCCCATTCGAGTAATGAAATGTTCCCTCACTCTTTTAGGCTTTCCTGCACAATTGAAATCCCGTAATGTAGTGGTGAGATGACCTGAGTTCGATTCCCTTCGAAACCTTAGGCAACTCTTCTTACTCCTCACTCCCCAATCCACCATCCGATGCCTCCGCTCGACCAGCACTGGCTTCCTGCTTGTCCCTCGTGTCATCCGCTCCACCATCGGAGGTCGCGCATTCAGCCACTACACCCCGAACCTCTAGAAAACTCTCCCTCAATCCCACCGCCTTGTCCCCTCGCTTCCCTTCTTGAATTCCCGTCTGAAAACCCTCCTTTTCGACCATGCTTACGGTCACCTTCGCCCACCCCGGCTCGGAGTCAGGCTCCGCCACTGTTAAGCGCTCTGAGATGCTGCCCAGCATGGAGGGCACGTTGCTAAGTTCAAGTTGTTGTTGTTGTTACTCCAAATGCCCCTGTTTACCTATCAGAAAGTAGGAACCTGGTTTAGTCGATTGGCGGATCGCTTTCCGGGGAAATGGATTGTCAGCCAGTCTGGCACAGTGGCAATGCTCTCGCAGAAGGTTGTGGGTTCAAACCCCACAGCGGAATCACAGTCTAAATTGACACTCCAATGCAGTGCTGGGGGTACGTTGTATTGTCATAGGTGCTGTGCTTTAGATCAGACATTAAACCAAGGTCCGTCTGCCTATTCAGGAGGATGTTAAAGATTCCGTAGTGCTATTCAAAAAGAGAAGGGAGTTTCTGGGAGTTTCTGGGCAAAAACCCCCCAAACTCAAATTGGTCACTCGCTCCATGGCTGTTTGTTGAACATTGCGTTGTTGCGTTTCGCCAAGAAAAATACAGTCAATCTAACTTTACAGTATATCCTGTGAAGCGTTTTGAGATATCTCAACAACATGATAAGATGCTATATCAAATGCAAGGATTATTATTATTATTAATTCCCTGGATAAAAGGGCAGCAGGTGATCTGCTGTCAGGTTTCTTCAACTGATCACTAGGACCCAGCTTTGCAGGCCAGTGATTTCCCTTTCCATTTCTCTCCCTCTACACAGGGCCATTCATATACTCAGTTTGGTAGCACTTCTACAGCTACAGCTAAGATCATTTGAATAAGCATGTGGCAAAAGCATGTGTTTGAGCACAAACATACTGCATTACCCATAGAATAGGAAGCAATATAATACTTTAAATTTGAGTGTAGATCCATAAGTGTAGATCCATTCGATGTTGTACAAATTTCTTAGTTACTCGAGGAACCACAAAGAATGTGCATTTTTTCACATCACAGCGCTGAAGTGAGTTAATTGTTGAAGAGCTATAATAATTCTGTTTAGTCAATTAAAATGAGGTTTATGAGGCTAACACAGATTCACTAAATGTTTTATGTAAATCTTGTATATTTAATCATGGCTGTTTAAAAGAAAGTAAAATTATAATTTAAACTCATCGTTTTTGTTATCCAATTAAACAATTCAAAAGGATTCATTGGTACAAATCTCAATTATTGATGTAAACGACTAATCCTAATATCTGTGTATAATTTAACGCTAAATAAATGAATAGAATTAATCACCAATGACAGTAAGTCAGCAATTGACTGGAGTTAAACGTTTCGTCACTAAACGTCGAACATGGAAGTTCAATTTAACTTTTGCTCGCTCAATGCAATGTTGAAGGACTGTAACTCTCAGCTCCCCCCCCCCACCCTCTCTGTATAGAAGAGCACCTTATATCAAAGCCTCAGCAGAGTGTGGGCAATCAGCGTTCAAATGCTTCAATTTGGTTGTTCTACATGAAAGGTGTTAAACACTTGCGTGTGTCTCTCCATCCCAAAGATACTGAGCTCGTTGCGAGGTAACTGCCACTACCTTTCCAATCCCTTCCCACCCCGTCCAGAGGTGGGCTTTCCCATCACATCTGGGCGTTCCTTTCACATCTATCCTTGGGACGTCCTCCTGACGTGAAAGACGCCAAATTACCAATGGAATTTGTTGTTGTGATGGTGGTTGGAGGCAGCAACCTAAACAATATCTCGGTCTGTCTCTGGAGGAACCTACTGCCTTGCTTTTTAGCTGTGGTTGGTTCAACCTCACAGGCCGTTAGCACAGGTGTGGACATAATTTTTGTACCAGAAAATAAAGTTGTATCTGTCAGCTGATATTGTGGGGCGCGCAGTTACCATTCAAGCTTTAAATTCAACCCGACAACATAATTCCAGAGCACCAGCGGGTCTCAGAGTACAGAGGCACCCTTTTTATCTGAAACAACTCGATCTAACAACACAATGCAAACAAGGAAAAAAAACACACAACTTAAAACCTGGAAGCGTGCTATGATTTTGCTTCTTCATCAAAGTGGTTGAGATGACATGCTAAAAATATCACCAGTTTAAAAACAAAGCAAGAGTAGTTGAATCTAAATAAACATAAGATGAAAAGGCATGAACACAAAGATATTCACTGCACAGGTCATTTCAAGCAATAACCCAGCAGCCTTAAATCTAGGGACAGAATGACAAAGCAGTCTGCAGCAATATACAAGGCTGGTTTGAAATCGGTCCAACCATGTTTCCTTCATCTTCAGACTGACAAAGAGACTTGTCAAAATCGCAGCATGTTATTATATGCAACATAGATTATGTGGCATCAGCAGAACCCAAGCTTTCCTGATTGGGGTAAAAAAAACTTTGGAAAGCATAAAATCCTCCTTCACAGCCTCTCTGGCTCTTTCCCTTTTCCCTCCCCCTCTCCCACACAAGCCATCCTTTCACACAAAAGTTAAAGCCTCGTGACAAGGACCTTGTAATAGGTTTCTAGCAATGAAACAAGAAGGCTTTCCTCCAAACCATTAACTTCTGTCTCCTGTGAAGTTCTGCCCAGTTTGCTTTTAACATTCAACTGACTTTTGTCAAAGCCTTGACGAAGCCACGTCTTTCTTCAAATGAGTTTTGCTCAGACAATGCCCCTCAGATGTAGTGAGCAGATCAATTTCTGTGGATGTCATGAATGATGATGCAGGTTGCCGATCCAATCGTCAATGGCACTAAATGGGGCAAGCAATTACCCATAAAGGTGCTGAAATGTGAATTAACTCAGATTTACCAGAGATAGGAACGACTGACTGGTAGCATTAAATTCGAGGTGATAAACGAACCCTGAACACAAGCTCTGAAAGACTACTGCATTTAAATCTCTCACTTGACAATGTGCTGATATTTTTTCTATACTTACTCCACACAGTGACATTGGCTGACGCATTCACTACGCCTTTGGAATTCACTGCAAGGCAGGTGTAAGTTCCCGCATCCTCAACATCAACTGGGTTTATCAGCAGCCCGCCAGATTCCAGAAGTGCAAAGCGGGGAATCTGTACAGAACCGCTCGCCAAAATCTTAGTGCCTGGAACAGAAAGAAAGAAGCCAGTCAATGATTGCAGACAGTCTGCAAGTCTGCTATGCTGTTCTGTCCTATTCATCCTGGGTACCGCATTGTACTTAAATGATTACTTTGCTGCATCTGCAACTAGATTCAACAATAATGTGTACTTCAATAGCAAACCTTCACTTAGCAAAACATCCCAAAACACTGCTGCGTTGCTGCAGGTCATTGAGCAAGGTGCGAAGAAGGGAGTGCTATTCAGATATACAGCCTGTTGTGACTGACTGCTTTGTTTTTAATAAAAGGCAAAATACTGCAGTGCTGGAAATCTGAAATAAAAACAGAAGTCGCTTGGAACCCGCAGCAGGTCAGGCAGCATCTATGGGGAGGAAAATTAGTTAATGTTTCAGAATACTGTTCTGACGAAAGGTCATCGACCTGAAACGTTAACCCATTTTCCTCTCTCTATAGATGCTGCCTAACTTGCTTTGTTTCTAATGTTTCCTTGCATTTCCTTTTCTTTTTAGCATGGCCGAAATCATGAATTAAAAGTGCATGAATTTGTGGTTTCGCCCACAAATATACGGTCAATTCACTTTACAGTCTATTCTGTGAAGCGCTTTGAGACGTCGAGATGTGAAAAGTGCTATATCAAATGCAAGGATTATTATTTTATTATTATAAAAATAATTTCTTCTAAAGTGTAGTATAATAATTTTTGGGATGCCAAACCCACCTCATGGTTCCCTCTGTAACCCTGTGGAAAACCACGCAAACATGTGGTAACATTTAACCTTTGAAAGACGACAGGATGAGTTGATTTGCAGGCCATCTTCCCTGATTTTGCCTTGAAAAAACCTCTCAGTAAAATTGCAAGATACGTTGTTATTGCTCAAACTGCAAACATGATCTCTCTGTCCTTCTGCAGCTGAACTCCCTGTCGAGCACCCTCCAGTTCTGCAGACTGGAGTCAAGGAGTGCAGATTGACATCTAAATATCTACTCAAATTCACACTGAGCCCTTGACTCCAGAGTGATCATAGAAATTTAAACTAAGGCATAATTCTTTTCGTCGCAAATTTTGATTCAACATTGAGGGGGTGTTGGAGCCAAGACCGAGCCTGTGCCCACCCATGACAACATAACAACAACAACAAGATTCTATTTATAGAGCGCCTTTCACGTCGGGAGGACGTCCCAAGGCGCTGTACAGTTGGGTCAGGACCCGAGCAGGGGGGAAATGGTCAGGGTGAGGGAAGGGAGGGAGGGAGGGAGGGAGCGAGGAGGGGGTAGAAAGTTGAGAGGGGAACTGAAGGCTCGGTCAAAGAGAAAGGTCTTGAGACCGGCCTTGAAGGAGGAAAGGGAGGAGGCAAGGCAAAGGCACTGGGGGAATAGAGTTCCAGAGCCTCCAGGCTGAAGGCACGGCCACCGATGGTAGGGGGCGGTTGGGGCGGGGGATGTGGAGCAGACCGGAGGGTACGGGCAGATAGGTAGGGGGATAGTTGGTCACACGATAGTGATCAAAGAGCCCAAACCCTGGCTGATGTTTTCCTTCCCCAAGGGTGCTGAGGCCAACTGGGGCCAGTACTGTTGAGACCCGCTAATAGCACAATATCTACAATTAAATGCAATATCTGCAATCATTTTCTCCATGTAACTAATAATCGTTACATAGAGAAAATGAGCATTTCAACGCAAGATGGGGACAGTTCTATCACCTGGACTATCTTTGCTCCATTTCAGACACAAACTGCACGTGGAGATGCGTTTCTGACGTTACATTTAGAATATTATTCTCCGAACCAACACACTGTGCTAAGCAAAAGTATTTACCCATCTTCCATGTGATGCCTGGTTTTGGTGCTCCTGAAACTTCACAGTATAAAATTGCAGCTGCTCCTTCTGTTACAGCAATATCTGACGGAACTCTTGTGAAGGATGGTGCAATGTCTGAAAATTACATCAATGAAATGATAATGATAAAAATAATAATGACACCTTAGGTTAGGATATCAACACATCTCAGAGTTTCCATTTTGTCAGAACAAACGCGCACAATCAGTTTTAACAGTTATTAACCCCTTATGCTCTATCCATCATTGTGAGTGAGTTTAAGCAGCCATCGTTGACCACCCACTATGTATCTGTGTAACCTGAACTCCCCTATCAGACCTTTCCCATCTTTGATTATCTGTTGGAAGGTCTCATGTGCAGATTGTCAATTCTGGTTATCGTTTTGTGTTGTTGTCTGATTTGTCGATAGCACAAAAGAATAGCATATGCTCAAGACAAATAGACCAATTTAAGGTCGACAATGTTAAAAGCAAATTTATCTGGACAATTCTACTGTGGAATTTACAAAAAAATCTGATTGTGGCAAGTTAAAGTGACCAGCAATGAGTCCGGTCCATGACTAAAATAATTCTTCCAGTTAATAACTGGAATATTTCATTAATGTGAACTCCCTGATATAATCTTTAATATTTATTTAAATAGCTAAGGAGTTTGGGATACAGCACAGCTATGTTCTCATTTTGTTTTGCACAATCAGATGATTTGGGACTGTAAAATTAACAGGACCACCAACAGAATTGGACAAATATTAAGTTGTGCTGTCAGTTTTACTTTCCATCTTGATTTTCAAGGACTAATGTCTGGATTTCTTTCCAGGCGTTGATGTATTAATGCTCTCTTTCTTCTGATGTATCATATGGGACCACTGAGGTTTCAAACAATCCTCCAGCTGTGATAACTCAAAGCATCAACTGCATTCAGAGTGGAAGGAAGTCTGTAACAAAATCTTGGTTATTTATTTCCTGCGCCTCTCAATACGTTTTTCCTGAAAATAGATGTGTGTCTTCCCGTTGGCTGCACAAACGAAACAAGATTTATTATCAATAATAAATTATAACCTGAGCTTCGGCCTGTTGGAAAATATTGTGCTTTTACAGTTTTGTAAGGCGTTGTTTTGCTATAAGGGCTGAAATAAATGAGAATGAAAACCAGTGCTATGGAATGCCTCTAAGCAACTCCAGCTGTGCTGATCTTCAAATATGTGAGGGATGCTGACAGAGGCAGCAGGGTCGAAGAGACCTGAAGTGCAATCACCAAGGGAGACACATGTAAATCTTTGAGATCCAGAAGGGCTTACAATCAAACAGATTTTCCAAATAGCATGCGTGCTCCTTTCACAAAAGTTAGCACATGAATGTCTCCTCTCCCCCATACGCGGCATCCATCTCTGGAGTGTAAAGCACTCTGAGATGTTAATCAACATGAAAAGCGCAATAAAAATTCACCTAAACACGATTTTACTAAAACCTTCACAAATTGGAAGAACCTTAAGTACGCACGCTGGATCAACTTAAATTGCATTATTTATTTGGACTAATTATATACAATATTACAGTCTCTAAACTGTTGAGTTCTATGCCTTAGAACAACTAAATAATAAGAGAGGCCATTCAACAACAGCAACAACAACAACTTGCATGTATTCAGTGGTGGAGTCTGACAAGGAGTCAAGGGGAGAGGGAGATGACCACAGGCACGATCAAAAAAGGTCTTTAGGCAGGATTTGAAATTGGGGAGGGAGAGGGCAAGGTGGAGGGATTAAGGGAGTCACAATGGACGTGTAGCACGGTTCAAGATATGGTTTCCCGGAGTTGACTTTTTCTCTGAAGTTAAATGTGTTTCCTTCAGTACCAATACTTCAAGCTAATCCTTTTCCAATGGTTTAGCCTTTCTTTAGACTGCAAAGCTTTGAGATAGCCTTCAAAACCCCACAAAATCACAGCTCCCAGTGGTTTAATACTTACTGGTAACAGTCAGATACGAAGGAGACTGAATCTCTCCTGCTTCATTCCTGGCAAAGCATTGGAATATTCCGGAATCTTCAGGGACCAGCCTTTTGATCTGCAGGATACCGCTAACCATCTCCTTGTATCTACTATTCTTTAACACATTTATGGGGACTGAATCTTTGTACCATTCCAGACTGGGCAGCGGTATGCCTGTGCATAAAATAAACTGTTTTAAAGAACCATATCATTTATAATTATTTAAAAATTATATGCCACATTTTAAACCCACAGTACATACAATACAATCTATTTGGATTTCTTTCATAATCTTTTGAAGCCAGTTTTCCAAAGGCATTTTCCCCTGTAAGCTTAGCGGCTTTGTTTATCTGGATGAATATGAAATGACCAACAGAATATGGTTTTGATCCACGAAATGGCGAGATGGATTCTCCTCATTCACCAAACAGGATCTACACTTTAGCAATTAAAAGACTTAAAGTTCTGGAGTCCTGTAGCTCAGTGGTTAGAGCACTCGCTTTGTAAGCGAGAGACCTGAGTTCAATTCCAGGCAGAGGGCGAAACCTTGGGCAAGTTTCCTTACTCCACACAGAGCCTAATAATAATCCCTCCAAAAACCAAAAACAATAATAAATTGGTCATTTTCAATCTACGACTGTTTGTGGGACATTGCTGTGCGCAATTGGCTGCCGCGTTCGCCCACAAATATACAGTCAATTCACTTTATAGTGTGTTCTGTGAAGCGCTTTGGGACGTCCTCCCGACGTAAAAAGCGCTATATCAAATGCAAGGATTATTATTATTATTATTATTAAATGGGCTTAAGGACAAGTTATCATCCTAGCTCAGTTGGCAGCACACTTGCATCTGAGTCAGAAGGTAGTGGGTTCAAGCCCCACATCGAGACTTTGAACTTTGGATAAGACGTCTTGTATGTCTGTTCAGGTGAATGTTAAATATCCTGTGGCACTATTCGAAAAGAGATGGAAGTTTTTCCAGGTGTCCTATCCAACAATCCTCCTGATAAAAATTGGTCATTTACCTTATGGGTGTTAGTGGGACATTGCTGCGTGGAAATTGGCTGCCACATTTGCCTATGAAATACATAGCCACTGCACATTGCGTTAATTCCTGTAAAGCACTTTGAGGCATCCTCCCAATGTGAAATGTACTGCAGTAATTGCAAGGATTATTTATGATTAAATACTCGGTTTATAAAACTCAGATTTAACTTTCATAGTAAATGACAGGTTTAAACTGAATGTGAAATACAAAATATTTCACCAGTGAAATTGAGTTACTGATCATTAATGACTGAAAATTTTAAAATTCAAGTGCTGTTAAAAGATAGGGTACGCGTGACATGTCAGCAGTAAATACATTTGGAATATTCTACGGGTTTCAATTCTTGCAGTGGGAGCTTGCATATTGACTTGAGGTTTATTCTGAGAAACTGTGATAAATGACAGGATTTTTCACTCAAGTGGATCATAGTTTAGTTATCACTTTGGTATAAATTGTCACTTGTAAGTGCACAGAAATAATTTTCAACTCTCACAGTATGTACAACAACAACAACAAGATTCCATTTATAGAGCGTCTTTCACGTCGGGAGGACGTCCCAAGGCGCTGGACAGTTGGGTCAGGACCCGAGCATTGGGGGGGAAAATGGTGAGGGGAGGAAAGGAAGGGAGCGAGAAGGGGGGAAATAGTCAGGGTGAGGGGAGGGAGCGAGGAGGGGGTAGAGAGTCGAGAGGGGAGCTGAAGGCACGGTCAAAGAGAAAAGTCTTGAGACCGGCCTTGAAGGAGGAAAGGGAGGAAGCGGCGAAGGCACTGGGGGATGGAGTTCCAGAGCCTCGGGGCTGAGAGGCTGAAGGCCCGGCCACCGATGGTAGGGCGGTTGGGGCTGGGGATGTGGAGCAGACCGGAGCCAGAGGAACGGAGGGTACGGGCAGTTAGGTAGGGGGATAGTAGGTCGGAGAGGTAGGAGGAAGCGAAACTGTGAATGGCCTTGTAGGTGAGGATGAGGATCTTGAATTCGATCCTCTGGGGGATGGGGAGCAGTGGAGGCGAGCGAGGGTGGGAGTGATGTGGTCCCGAAGGCTGGTGCGGGACAGTACACGAGCTGCAGAGTTCTGAATGACCTGCAGCTTGTGGAGGGAGGGCCGGGAAGGCCGGCGAGGAGAGACTTCCCATAGTCCAGCCTTGAGGTGATAAAGGCGTGGACCAGAGTTTCAGCAGTGTGAGGGGTGAGGTAGTGCCGTAGTCTGGCGATGTTTCGGAGGTGATGGAAGGCGGTGCCAGTCGTGGCGCGGATATGAGGGAGAAAGGACAGCTCAGGGTCTAACAGAACCCCGTGGTTCCTGATGGCTTTGAGAGGTGGAGAGTGCAGCCTTGAATGCTGATGCTGTCAGCGCCTGAGGTGCGGAGGCGCTGACGTGAGCCTATCAGGAGGGCCTCAGTTTTGCGCACGTTGAGCTGAAGAAAGTTGTCTCTCGTCCAGGACTCGATGTCGGACAGGCAGCTGTCAGGACATCGGTGATCGTGGAGTTGAGGGTAGAGGAGGAAAGGTAGAGTTGGGTGTCATCCGCATACATGTGGAAGTTAACCCCATGTCTGCGGATGATGTCACCACAGGGGGAGCATATAGAGGGTGAAGAGGAGGGGACCGAGGACAGAGCCCTGAGGGACACCGCACGAGACAGTGTGGGGGCCGGAGGAAAAGCTGTTTGTGGAAACAAAATGAAGACGGTGGGAGAGGTACGACCTAAACCACTCAAGGACAGGGCCTTGAAGGTTGAGGTGGGAGGACAAGCGGTGGAGGAGGATAGCGTGGTCGACCGTATCGAATGCTGCCGATAGGTCGAGGAGGATGAGGAGGCAGAGGGAGCCCTGGTCACAGATGGTCAGGATGTCATTGGTGACCTTGACCAGGGCGGTTTCTGTGCTATGGGCAGCACGGAAACCCGACTGAAGGTGTTCGAATAATACATGGGTGGAGAGGAAAGAGCGCAGCTGGGAGGCGACGACTCTTTCAAGGACCTTGGACAGGAAGGGGAGGTTGGAGATGGGCCGGTAGCTTGATAGCTGCGACGCATCAAGGGAGGGTTTTTTCAAAGTGGGAGTGATGATGGCAGTTTTTAGGGGAATGGGAACAGAGCCAGAGGAGAGGGACAGGTTGACGATGTCTGTGATAAGTGGGGCAAGGAGGTGGAGCTGGGAGATAAGGAGTGGAGTGGGGATGGGGTAAAGGGAGCAGGTGATGGGTTTCAGGGACAGGATGAGTTTGGTGACAGAGGGTGGGGAAACGGGTTTGAAGGTGTGTAGGGGAGGATTGGTAGGAGTCGGAGTGTGGGAGGGAAGGGGTGGGGGGTGCTGGAAGTTGGAGGGGGAGTGACCGCGGAGCGGATTCCCTTGATTTTGGATTCAAGGAAATCCAGCATCTCCTCGCAGTGAAGGTTGGAGGAGATGACCTGCGCGAGCTGGCGGGGGGGACGGAGGAGTCGGGATGTGGTAGAAAACAGAAGCCTAGGGTTGTTCTTCGCCTCCAGGATTATCCTGGAGTAGAAGGACACATGTAAGTGTTTGCCTACAAAAATACACAGGTGCTACACTTTACAGGATATCATGCGCTCGAAGACATCCTCCCAATGTGAAAGGCGTTCTCCGTGTCAAATGTACAGAATATTATTCTAATCTTTTAAACACACTTGCAAGCTTTAAGTGAGAAACTCAAGTTCTATTGTTTTAGGCTTGATGTCATCCAGCTGTTTTCCACAACCACAAATATTTTTAACCCAAATTAATTTTCAAATGTGGAATTTAAGTGTCAGCCAAGGGTGGAGTCCTGATGTGGGGCTTGAATCCACAACCTTCTGACTCAGAAGTGAAAATGCTATCAATTGAACCAGGCTGATAAGTCGAGGAAGCGAAATGTAAAGAACATTCGAAAATCTACATACTAACATGGCAGCTTGTATGATACATTCAGGGAATAATCATAGTGCTATAGCAAGCTTGTGCCTTGAAGTGATGCTTAAGCTTTAAGTAACGGATTCCGATTAATGAGAAATAACAATTGAGTTGAGAAATTCACAGTTTAGGTGGAATTTAGACACGTTTGAACTTCAAATGATCCACTTAATAAGACACTAAATCCTGAAAGAAGTATCCAATTAGAAGTTCTGCAATTATTCCAATTTAGCACTATAAAGCAGAGTAACTAGACTGGTTTGGATTCTGCACACCTGGTAAAACTAAGGAAAATGGCATTGATAGAAGACAAAATAAAACAGTTAAAGTTCAAGGTAAAGTTTGAAGAAAATGCCACTTCGCTCGGTTTTCCAGTTTGTGAGACTTTTAAATTTGATTGGGTGGGCCCACATTCCACTGTTACAGCAGGGCAGAAAATTGAGTCAACTCAAAATTTGATAGTGTAATAAATTGGCTCCATTTGTAGATTTCTACACATGGCAGAAAACTTTCAGCTCAAACAGAGTAGAAAGTGTGAACTGGTGAAAAATAGGTCAAAAAAGAGATTTCCACCCAAAATCCAATTTTCTGCCTGATTTAACCCCATATGTTTAAATGAGAGTTTTATGGAAAATTGTTTAGCATAGCTGTAAAGCGCAAACCAACCACAGGAACATTTCCAGGCTCAGAAAGCAATAAATGAGGGATTAGCAATGAGTAGTTTGAACACAAAAATGGAAATGTTACAAGCTCCATTTGGCTATGCGATTGTTAACCCTGATTCACAAGCATCAAGCAGAGGATTTGGGTTATAAATGAACTATTGAAAGTTGCTATATTTCAACATAATGTAGCACTCTGGTTTCCCACACAAGTGGTTTCCAAGCTCATCGAAATGAAGAAGGCAATTATCAAGCTAAAACTCTGTTTCCTTCAAAAACTCTAGCTGTTCTTAACACTCACCCATTGCACGGCATGGGATGTCAACAGTCTTGTCTACTTCACCTAGGATTCTTGTGGCAGGCTGTGCAGTAAAATATGGTGGTTCTGCAGAAACAAAAGTAATTTAGAGGATAAAACTTTGGTCTGTAAATTTACAGTTAGATTTTGAAGAAGACCCACAAGCTTCTAATTAACTGCAGAGCAAGGGCTTCTCCTTATAACTAAGGTGTTTCCTCTATTATCTACAAAACAATATTTAAAAGTACTCCCAAGTTTACCAAATACTTGCTGCCCGGGGGGTGTATCCATAAAGATTCTCATTGTCCTATATTATGGATATAATCTTCAAGGCAACATGTGTTTGATAGAGTTTGTCTACACAAACATAGATAGAGGATTATATTAGTGCAGCTTTTAACTCATCCCAAAAACTAAGCAGAGCATATATATTCTGTAAACGCTAACTGAACCAGCAAATGTAAAAAAAACTTTCTAAGGGCCACAGTAGAATTGCTGCATCAAAGTAAAAAAAATGTTGTGAAAGCTATGCTAATGAAGAACAGGAACTCTTCTGCGGTTCCTGCGAATCACTCTCATTTCACTTGATAGCAATCAATAGCATGAAAACAGGTCTTCAATGTTTTAATGATGTGCAAAATTGTCCATTTTGAGTGCTGTAAGGGAAATTGATTTCTCCGAGGGTTGAACACAAAGCTTGTTACCTATAATTGATAGGTGGGCCCGTTTGTGGACGGAAGGAACGCTGCTGCTTTGCAATACAGCCTCGCATTCGTACATTCCAATATCAGCCGAGGTTGGATTTAAGATAGTTAGTCTCCTTCCGAATGCGTCAATTCCGCTGGTAAGTATTATACCACTTCTCTTCCACGTAATGCTCAGTTTGTCCACAGGTCTATTAGAAATAGAGTGAGAGGGGGTAAGTTTGCACATCAACAGACTAATGTACCTATTCACTTTATAATTGTAGTTTCAAGGAAACGAACAGTGAAGATATTAAATCAATACAGCAATTTTATGATTCTTTCATTTTGAAGCTTAAAGTGCTGAACCACGATAGATCAGGGTCAAAACTCAAGCGGGAAAACATTTGATCATCATTTTATAAGTACAACAATTCTCTTCCAAATCAGGTTTTCGAGAAACTCCCTTTGGAGTTACCTCCCTGCAAAAGCACTGTTCACAAAGCTCCTGTTTGTAGTGTGTGACAGTAAGATGTGTAATAGGTTCAGTGTGTACAAGGTCCACATTTATAAAGTGATTTTCACTCATCAGGTGACATTAAAATACCTCAAGCAGGGCTAGCGATTAGACCACTACTTTTTTTTGCAGAGTGCTGGCTCTGTTGAACAGATTTCCCTAACAAAAGAAGTTGCCTTCATAAACTCTGTGAAAAACAATCTGGATAAATATCACGTGTCAGGCCACTGCTATTGTTGCTCTTCAGTCAGCTGGTGAAAAGACTATTCTCCAATTTTATCTCCCCTGCTTTGGAAATAATTTGACTCTGGCTCACCAACCCCAAAATAACCGAGAAAAGGTTAGGAATTTATCACATTGAGGAAGAGGGCAACAGGAATAAACAAATGTCCTCCCACTCCCTGGAGCAGCATATCTATATGCAAACAAAGTGTGCCAATAGGCTACCATATTCAAATCTGTACTAAGTGAGTTGATCTCAGCTGGGTGCAGTAATTCACTTCTGGTGCTTTGCTTTGAGTAGGGTAAAATCAACCAGTACTCTCTCTCCTTTCTCTCTACTAAGATGGACAAGATTGGGCTCAACTGTGATACCACCCTGGGATAAAACAAAAAAAACTGTCAATACTTATTGTCAAGGCTCACACTTAAATAACGGCTACCTGAGCCAGGCACAAGAAGACCTTTGGAGCGTTATCCAAATAGAAGAATAACTGAGGGAAATAGATAGGTTAGGTGAGTGGACAAGAAGGTGGCAGATGGAGTATAGGTTATTCACCTAGGTAGTACAAATAGAAAAGCTGATTATTTTCTGGAAGAGGAGAGACTAGGTATTGTTAGTGTTGAGAGGGATTTGTCCTTGTACACCAGTCACAAAGAAGTCAGTGTGCAAGTACAGCAAGCAATTAGGAAGGCTAATGCCATGTTGGTGTTTGTTGCAAAGGGGTTAGAGTACAAGAGTAGGGAAGTCTTGCTGAAATTGTATAGGGCCTTGGTGAGACCACACCTAGAATATTGTGTGCCATTTTGGTCTCCTTATTCAAGAAAGGACCTACTCGCCTTAGACGAAGTGCAGCGTAGATTCACTAGGTTGGTTCCTGGGATGAAGGCGTTGATCTATGAGGATAGATTGAGTAGACTAGGCCTATATTCTCTAGAATATAGAAGAATTAGAGGTGATCTTATAGAAACCTATACAATTCTTAATGGTCTTGACAGGGTAGATGCCGTGAGACTGTTTCCCCTGGTTGGAGAATCTAAAACTTGAGGTCATAGTCTCAAGATTAGGGCTCAGCACTTTAGAACTGAGTTGAGGAAACATTTCTTCACTCAGAGGTCAGTGAATTTGTGGAATTCTCTACCCCAGAAGGCTGTGGATACTCAGTCCTTGAACATATTCAAGACTGAGGTTGATAGATCTAAAGGATAGAGGGATTAAGGTATATGGGGATAGGGTGGGTAAATGGAATTAGGTTAGAAGATCAGCCATAATCTTATTAAATGGCGGGGTAGGCTTGAGGGGTCGAATGGCCTAATCCTGCTCCTACGTTTTATGGTCGTATGAGGCAAAATGCCTTCAGTGGAGGAGGAGGTGTAGAGAAGAAACTTGAAGGAGAAGATAAAATTAATACATAAGAGTTCCTTAGTGCATTGCTAAGTCCATAGAGCTCTCATGTATAATGAAGCATTAATATTCAACTGTCAGCAAATACCATACTTCCAGATCTCCCTGAAGACCTTTCATGAAAATGATGAATGGACATCTGGGACAACCACTGTGGAAAGACTGGCTGATATCCGAGAATTTGAGAGTACTTTCATGAGCTAATGTTCCATCCAGTATAATTATATCTGCATTTGTTACATGTGTATTAGATTGAGGATGGTTGGTGATGGTTTCAAGGCCTTAAAGAGTAAGTAGAGTGAAAAAAGCTTTGTAAATTAAGTTAGTTTATTAGATTAAGTGTCCTGCTTGAAATCAGTGGGACTTATTTAGTTAATTGCTTCAGCTGCTGGTTTCATAAAGATTCACAAATTAGAAAGCTAAAAACAAAGACCACAACTTTGCCTATGATGAAAATAAAAAACACTGGTTATACAATCATTGATAATCATTATTTACTGACAACACTGAAACCATTAGATAGAGAATACAATTAAAATACAGCGCTGTGCTATAGAGTTTAACCTTCTCACAGTCACCTGGTTTTGTTTTTAATGTTGTAAGTTGTAGGAAATTCATATATAAAAAAATTGAACCCAAGATACTATTTTATGGTGGATGACATCAGGATTATTTCTCTAGCTTTCCAATTTTCTAACAGGCTGTCAGAGAAAAATGATTACACAATGCTTTTAAATCATATCAAAATCAAAAATGAAATGAAATCAAATGAAATTAAAACTCTGCATTTTGTAAATCATTTGTTTCTTCTTTCATGGTCCTTCCACACCACACGTTTGCCTTGGACTTTTCAACGGCATTCATGTTCTAGGAAGTGTCTGTACTCTTTTCATCTGTGCCATATCCTTCTTATAGTGTGTAGACCAGAAATGGACACAGCACTCCAAATGTGGGCTCCATTTTGCCCACAAAATATAGTGAATTTATTTGAACTGTAACAGTATATTCTGTGAAGTGCTTTGAGACATCTCAACGACGTGATAAGGTACAATATCAAATGCCAAGATTGTTATTGTTAACCAAGGTTTTGTATAAATCCAGCTTCACTTTCATATTCTATCCTTCTTGATATAAAATCCTGAAACCATTTGCTTTTTGTAGCGTTATCTACCGTGAAGCTACTTTTAGAGATTTGTGGATCTGAATCCCTAGGCGTCTTTGCTCCTCTACCCCTCTAAGGTTCCTACCACCTAGACTATAGACCTAAACTAAGCTATATGTGTTTAGTTTCAATAAATGGTTGTACTGATCTTGTAATAATAATCATTCATTTTCAATACAGCAAGGATTTGCTATATTAGATTGATATGTGATTTCCTCTACTGGCTAAGACTATTGAAGAGGGCTCACGACTGTTATGAGACAAACAGAAGACGTAATAAGGCGCTATATCAAATGCAAGGATTATTATTATAAACACACTTTTATGAAGAAAAGCAATGAGTCAACAAAGGACCAATGCAACATTACATTATGATGGAAAGCTAAAAGAGCTGGGCATTGCAGGGGGAGAAGAGAGCATGGAATTCAGGCATATAAGCAGAGTCTCAAACTGCACAGGGACAATATCACAAATTTAAGGGCTTATTATTGATTTTAGTTCACTCAAGAGAAAGAACCTTTTTATTTAAAATGGGATGAATGAGAGAGTACGTCTTAAAGAGCATGGGTGCAATTTGAAGAGAAAGAAACAGGAGCCAATTCAAGAACATTTTGGGGTATTCATTCACAATAATTGGGAACATAAGTAGCTGTCAATTAGTTACATACTGGTTGCATGGGAGGAAAGGCAGGCCTAAGCAAGTGCTCTTGAACAACAAAACATAATACAAAGCAAAAGTCCCAATTTGCAATGGTATTCCATACATAATAAAGTCAGATCTATTAGTCACTGATGAACTCACTGAAGACTGTTGCTTAGTCACTCTAATTAGTAAGGACCAGTCAAAGATATTTTCCAAATTGTGACAACTCTTGACATAATTGTGATTAGAATTTCAGTCTCAGGATGCATTATATATTATAATTAACATTTATACAGCACCTTTCACATCAGGAGGACTTTTCAAACAGGATTAGTATACTTTCAAGTATTGAAGGTTTTGGCTTCTTGAAGAAAGAATCAATTATTTAAATAAATGTTATGTAGTCCATGCTTTCTATTTCAATTTCTTTACTTACAGTCTTGTGCAAGCTGTAAAATCAACATCATGGAAACAACCTCTGTTAATCTCTACAAGGTCCCTCCCCCCAATCATCTTAACTCTAGAGAAGATCTGAAACCTGTCCAATCTTTCTTGATAGCTGTATGTACTCATCTCTGGTAAAATGATACCTAGTAAATCTGGCTTTTTTCCATATTAATAATAATATTCAAAAATAACTATTCACATTCTAGAAACGACCTTTGATGATGGTGGCTTTGACTGACTGAAGAGAGTGTCTTTACAGTATATTCTGTGAAGCGCTTTGAAACATCTTAATGATGTGATAAAGCGCTACATCAAATGCAAGAATTATTATTATTATTGCAAGGACAATTTCTCCTAGATTGGAACTCGGAAATACATTAGTCTTAAACTTCTTCCACAATCTTTTAGTTCTGCAGGTGAGTGTTCAGGCACTGTAATTTTCACCTGCACCTATTACTTCTATTACTATTATTTGCTGTGCTTGTTTGTTTTTACTGCTGAAACATGGGATCTCCTCGAAGAGCACATTTATCAATGTTAGCTCTTGTAAGAGGTAAAGTTACAGTCTGCGCTTGCAGGTAGTAAATAGATTGGTTTTTTTATTGGCAATTTTTCAATTTTAGTATGAAAGTCTTTCCTTCAACAAATGTTGCACTAAAGGATTGTTTTGGCATTTCTGTAATCAATTGCAAGCTTCCGCGCGGCCTAATATATCCTGGATGCCAGAGGTTCTAAAATTTATTTTAAGAATACTAGATCGATAATCTAGTATTGCAACATTCTAAAAGGAAGGCAGCGGAGGACCTTTTACCCCTTAATTTGAAAAACTGTCAATAAAAGTAACATTGCACATAGTCAAATATCTGAGTTTACCGCATAAAGAAGCAGCCACAAATAAATACAAGAATATTACAAATCATCCCCTACCAGGAACAACTACTGAACAAATCGTGCAATTATTATGTAAATGATGGGATATTTTGTCTAGTATTTCTTATGTTCTTCTTATGTGGTCTCATGTCACTTGGTGCCGGTGTGATCTCTTCAGTGCGGTTGCTGTTTCCACTAACCTTGCGTTAGCCACACATTCCAGAGTGACCTCACTTGTACCAGCCACGACACTGGTGTTTTTTGGAGGAACAACAATTGTAGGTGCCACTGGATCTGCAGGGTCATCGGCATCTGCAAGAGTCAGAACAAGATTGTAAGCAAAGCAAGTGTACTGCAGAACCATTCTACAACAAGGATGCAAAAACAAAGTGAATGCAATGCAAAGCTGAAAAACGAGAACTGAAAGCCACTCCATTCGGTCACTGTAGTTCAAGACACAAGGCTGTGTTCAGTGCCTAATTCACACGGCTGTTAAGACCACTGGAGAACCAACATGTGTGATCCAAGAATTTTACCAAACGATCACAAGCTAGCACATTTTGTAGTACGTTTCGCCCACAAAATAGACAGTCAATTCACTTTACAGTATATTCTGTGAAACTCTGAGACATGATAAGGTGCTATATCAAATGCAAGGATTATTGTTATTACTTTTCAGGCTCCTGCCAACCCTCGTCAACTACTTTCTGGAATCAGGTAAGCAGGATGAGGATGCTGCGTTTCGCCCACAAAATATAGTCAATCCACTTTACAGTGTATCCTGTGAAGCACTTTGAAACGTCTCAAAGACATGATAAGGCGTAATATCAAATGCAAGGACTATACTATTGAGTCCCAGAAGGGAGAGAGTGGGCATTTCATTCTAACAAGTTACCTCTGGAATTTCCATGTGTAGGTGTGATGCATGGAATTGCATCCTTCTGCAATTCTCAGTTAGGTTTCAGCATGGTGATGAGTTTCCGTATGTATCAAACACCTGACTGACCCGAAAAACAGCAAATCTCTGTTCAAAGTGATCACCATCCATTCAAATTTCCAGTGCATATCTCATACTGAAATTAACATACTGACATGAAAAACAACCTAGTTCACATCTCAGGGGATATCTTGAGAACCCAGACTGTACAGTCCTGAGATATTAATAGGCAGAACAGAATAATACTGAAATCTTTTTCTCATACAAGTGTTTCTATTTGTAAATGTGTGAGTTATCAATGAAAGATAAAATTGTTATTCTAACCGACTTTATGTCTCTCATACGAGTTCTGACGAACATTTAATAAAATTCCCACAGAGTCAGCCTTAAAAGTCAATGCAGATACATTAGTACAAAAAACAACTTGCACTCATAAAGCACCACTGTTCATAGAATGAAAGGCTTGAAGCACTTAACAGTAGATGAGTGACCAATAAGTGGCTGAATTTTGTGAGGAAAGTGATGTTAAGTTCATTTGTCAGATAAGTGGCTTCCTCAACGACTGACAAAAGTGGTCTCTTGTCACTTAATGAGAGATCACCTGCTATGCTGGTGAATCACCCTGAATTAATTGGCTTAGGTTTCGAAAGTCCATGTTTGATTCTCTATAGTTTTGGAGGGTACTCGTGATGGGAAATGGAATATGCTAGAAGCGATGCAGGCAGGTGGAGCACGGTTAACTGCAGAATAAATTTACTCAGCTGTAAGGGCAATATTTTCCACTTTCTCACATCAACTATTTGTAATCTCACCAAGTGAAAGTGACCATTTAGCGCTGAATTATGATGGCCTTCTGTGCTGTACAACTCATCCCTCATAGATCCTGGGTTAAGATTGCCCAAACGCATTTCACATTCTTCAGTCAACAGACAGAAGAGATTTTCATGCCATCAATCTGGCCTGCGTTCAAACAGTCGATAAAATCAAACTTAAGCAATTCTTTTCACTAAAAAAAAGCACAATTGTACCTTACAAATCTTGCTTCTACATAGTGGACAAAATACTGATGGCGTCTCTCTCTCTCTTTCACACTTAAAGAAGTAGCGTGGACGAGTAACGATGTAACAGAAAATGAAAATTAATGAGACAACCTAGGAGAGGCTATGTGACTGATGAAGAGAATACACTCCCAGGGGACTGATGCTCTGAAAATGTCCCCGATGGACTTCAAATTATTTATGGGTTACAATGAACAAGAATAAGTGGGTTTTTTTGTATAAAAAGTCTGTATTCATAACAAAAAGATTGTTTTAAGGAGGAACATGAAGAACTACTGTCAGATGGGCCATAGTAAAACCTGAAGGTCAAGAAGTAGGAGGAAGATTGAGTGACAACAGCAAAAATCAAAAGCATCTGTTGAAAACCCACAACGTCAGAAGGTTCAATTTTAGAGTCACTGATCTAGAAGAACCAATTTTATTTCAGAATAATTACAGCAGGCAAACATTCCTGTCATACGACATCATTTTGGGGTTGGCTCAAGTGACTAGCATTTATAAAGGCAATTACACAAATTAAATAGTCAGGAATAGATGAGAAGCCTGGGGGTGAGATGGCCCTCTGCAAATGGGCATTTGCTGTTGAATAAATGGACTACAAAGCAGCTGTATGGTTTGGATAACATATCTTAGAGGAAACAAGCACCCAGTCCACAGGAAAGGGAGATTTCTGGAGTAGAATACTATACGCTTAAGTTTATATTTCAATGCACTCTAGTTTGAAATATATTTTCTGTTTCTCTTTCCCACCTTTCTTACTTCCTCTCCTAAATGTGTCATTTTGTGCTTGGGAACAATTCCATGTAACCTCGGGCCTCTGGTCAAGTTTCCAATCTTCATGTGGCATCCAGTTAGTGTTGATAGGCTGATGGTGGGGGTCAATCCAGGTAAGGGACACAAAGAAGGCTAGCTCTTGCTAAGTGGAAGGGGCGACCATGTCAGTCTGCCTCATTCAATATGCGTCTTAAGACCCACCTCTTTGACCACGCCTTTGGTCACCCTCCTATCCCTACCCTCCGAGCCCTCCAACCCTCCTGATCTCAATCACCAGCTCACGTGCAGATTCCTGACCATCCAGCGCCTTGGGATATCCTCCTGACGTGAAAGATGCTACACAAATCTCATTTGTTGTTGTTGTGATGCCAGAGGTTGCAGAGGGAGTGTGGGACAAAGCAACAGAGGGATTTGAACTATTTGAAAGTAATTTAAAATGCTCTAAATGGTAAAACTGTGAGTGACAAAGTGGAGCTGAAACTGTTGAAAAGAGATTTTGTTGAACAGTGCAAGCACCAAAAAGTAACAATAAAGCCAAAACCAACAACACGTTTTAAAAATCCTGAGTGAAGGATTTGTAATCATGTGAAGAGATAGTCTCACACTAATTGTTAATTCATAACCTTTAAAACAATAGGTTTGTTTGTGGAAAATAATCAGTTGGACCTCAATGATCAAAGTGGTGAGGATTAATACAGATTAGCTGGTTTATACAAAATGAAGGTGCTTCTACCATCTATGACATCTATAAAATCATTAAGACTTTAGACCAGGCGTCAATCAGCCTCACCGCTATTCCCATAATGGGATGATCTATAGGCTCAAAGGTGTGGGTGGGTCGGGGCTGGTACAATAAACAGGTGAGGGTTGTAGGTTAGAGATACTGGCAATCCGTCTAGCATTCAGGATCATCACCTGTTCATTTCTCTGAGAAAATCAGATCACCGCCTCATTTATTCTGAAAAATTCTTTCCAGGAATGTGTTGTTCATACTCAAAACTGGAACTCCACAATTTAGGTTCTTTGCCATACATATATTGTGTTGACAGTGTAACTTTCCTGGTAAAGGAAAATCTGAACACATGTAGATTCAAGATTACTTCGTAAGAAAGTGGCAACAAAGTTCCAAGCTTTCCTTTCTTCCAGCCCCAATCACATTTCTGGCTATTTTCTTTTCAGGCAGAGAAAATGAATGACAAAATGTGAACAGACTACATAATCAACAAATCACTGAGTACACCCATTCAATTCATGACATTGCACCTATTCACTTTGAATGTGGCTTTAAACTTCAAGCAACAATAGTTCAGAGTCATTCAGTTATAATTTATTTAGTACTTTGTATATTGGCTTCAAATGCTAGCCCTTACATTGAAAACAAGCTGAAACCTCATAGCTTGCCTTTATGTGTCAGCCAGGCTCAGTGGTTGCACTCTCACCTCTGTGTCAGGAGGCTGTGGGTTCAAGCCCCAAGTTGGGACTTGGAATCATACAGTCTAAGCTGACACTCCAATGCAGTGCTGGGGGGGGGTTTCAGAGTTGCTATCCTTTAGATGAGACATTAAATCAAGGTCCTGTCTGCCTTTCCAAGTGAAAGTTAAAGATCGCATGGCACTATTTGAAAAGAGAAGGGAGTTTCTCTCTCCTTGTGCCCTGGCCAACAATCTCCCAAATAAAATATCAGTCACTCATTCCATGGCTATTTGTGGGACATTGTTGTATGCAACTGGCTGCCGCGTTTCGCTCATAAAATACAGTCAATCTATTTTACAGTATATCCTGTGAAGCACTTTGAGATGCCTCCATGATGTGGAAGACGGTTTATTAAAACCATATTGAGAGCAGTTCCGGCAAGCTTCATGCTATTTGTCCAGGTAGGACCACCCTACCCGTTAGGTTTTAATTGTGGGGCATCTTACAAATATTGCACTGCAGGCACAAAAACTGAGCATATTCCAACCCAACGAGGGCTTAACTAAATAAAAAATTTAAAACCAATACAATACCTCCAATAATATTATTATAATTATGAATTTTTTTTTAAAAAAATCTAATTCTAACTGAGTTCAGCCGAGGATCATTTACATCTTGTTGTTTATCACACTCGTGGATCAAAAAACATAGATTTTTCAAAAATTTAATGACAGGATTTTCACAGCCCACTAATTTAAACGCTCCAGGACTCTACCCGGCGTGAAGGGAGCTATATAAATGAAAGTTGTTTTTGTGATCAAAGTAACCAGATAAGCTGCTCAACAAGTTCTCTTTTTTACCAAGGCTTTTTCTTATCAAGAATTATCAAGGCTCCCACTAAATGTGTAGATTCTATGACTGCTTCACAGCACTTTTAACTGTGCTTGTATGCATCATCGTTGGGTATAGAATCATAGAATTTTACAGCACAGAAGGAGGCCTTTCAGCCCATCACATCCGTGCTGGCTCTTTGAAAGAACTACCAACTAGTCCCACTCCCCTACTCTTACCCATAAGCCATGCATTTTTTTTCCTTTTTAAATACATATCCAATTATTATCAAATCTGCTTCCACCACCCTTTCAGGTAGTGCATTCCTGACCATGACAACTCTATATGAGATATATAGTGATACGAGATACGAGAGAAATATGGCAAAAAAGCCTCTGGCAGTACAGACAACTCCCATTTGTGAAACAAGCATATTAGCTGGCTGCAGTAGGTTTAAAGTAGGAGTGTTTAAAAAAGGATACTCCAGCAGTATCTTTGCATCAATACAAGATTAGAGAATCAGTTTCCCTTGCGATTGTTCGTGGTGGATGTCTGTCAGTAGCACATATAAGAAACTAATTTCAGGTCATGTCTGATATGACTGTCATTACAAGGCTGTTCTTCATTATTCTTGTTCTGCAAAAATCGAGTCTACAGCAGCAAGATGAAATTCATCTGAATGCCCATAGAAAACACAGTGGCATTTTATTGTATGCAAATGGAGTCGATCACAACAAACCTGGAGTGTTCAAAGAATTTCACTTTAAAAGGAGTCAGGTAGCTTCATGTTACTGACAAATTGATGAAAGTGAGAAAAATTCACTTATACTGGAGTTGACACTTATGTTGGATTTACACTGCTGGGAGTGAAATGTCTTTGCTCTTGACAACATAGCGATGTGGAGCAGGAAACAGTCTTTACACAGCTTCTCATCACTTTCAATAGGGCCCTGAATAAAGAGGCTCACAATTTGACATTCTGTACAATTGTACCTGGTGCAATTGGCTCTTTAATAAACCTTGAAAGAAGAATTCCCACACACCGCATTGACGCTGCAGTGAAAATCATGGCACTCCTGAAACTATCTTGTTCAGGGAGTGTCAGGTAGCTCTGGATAAATTCTGCTGCCTGAGACCTCCTTTAAGAGTAAATTGGCCCAGAACAAGAGGGCCAATAAGAAGAGCAGGAAGTACAAAAGGTCACTGTGAGTGTGTGGTTTAGAGTGGTGAATTTATGAGTGTTTGGATTGACAAATAAAGAAACTTACTAACACACCCTTGAATTAGATCGAGTTATATTACAGTTGACATGTTGATTGGTAGAGTTACTGGGACTCAACCGCAAATATCTATCTTAAGATCAACTTGAATCAGCTGCAAACTTAAGTTGATTGGGAAGAAGCACGATAATAAAAAAAACTTGTATTTATATAGTGCCTTCAAGAGGTCTCAAAACGCTTCACAAAATTTACTGTAAACTGTAATGCCTGTGTATTTTGTGGGCGAAACTCTTGTTTGTCCAGCGCCTTAGGAAGTTGTCCGGATGTGAAAGGCGCTATACAAATGTAATTTTGCTGTTGTTGTAGCCAATTGCGCACAGCAATGTCCCACAAACAGCCATGGACTGAGTGACCAAATTATTATTTTATTTACTTATTATTTCTTTTGAAGGGATTATTACCCCAGAAAGTTCCCATTTATTATTAGGTAAACAGAGGAAAAATACCTGAAGCCACATACTGGTGTTGTTGCTAATACATGGCTGTCAGCATTAGAGTAGGGCTTTCTGTGGTCAATATATAAACTGATGCTAGTGGGAATTTAAAAATAAAAGATAAAGCTGCAACTTGTAATGACACCAAGAGAAAGAAACCTTTCTTACCAAAGGACGCACTTAATATAATTATCTTGTTCCTATAATTCCTGCATGGTTAAACTCAATCTATTAATGATATGTATATCGCGTAGAAATATAAGTTTATCATGAAAATTTTCCACACTAACAAAGAAGCTGTGGAATGCTGCAAACAATTCTACAAACACATGGTGCATTCTGGCCTTCTTCAGCTTGTGAGACTCATTGACTGGATACTTCACAAAGCAAGTTTATAAAGTGTAATTAAGAGACTTCAGCGCTCTATGACCAGGAACACAATTTGTCTATGTGCAGCATTCTCTGGTTACTTCTTTGTTAGACCACAGAAAGATTTTCATAAAAAACTTGTGGCAACCTCAAGTGATATCTTAAACTGTAAGAGTTGAGCTCTCATGGTTTATACAGTAACTAAAACCTCCAGGCTGGATTACAAGTTTGAGCTTGCTCTCTTTTATCTGCTATCTATAATACTTGCTGCATAATTCCATGTTATTAGCTGGGTAAATCATACTCTTGAGCCGTTGTCCTATGTCTGGAAGCTGGATGAGGTAATAACATGTCGAGGGGTCATTAAGTCTCTTTTTAAGTGGAACTAGTATTGTTTGCAAAAATAAGTCTCTTCTCTTCAATTATATTGTTGTTGGGCAGACAGAAATGGATTTTTAGTTGAATGCTCTTCTTCCCCCACCCCAGGTCGAGATGCCACAAATGAAGTGATGCTCCATTGCTCTGGTAAGTTCAGCTTGTTTTGTTAATGACTGCTTAGAATGGGATTTCCTTTAACCCCGCATATACTCAAAGCACACTAAACAAACCAGTATGGATTCCCTTAGTATTTTGTGCATATCTGTGTAATTCAGTCCAGGGGATTCATAACAGCTGCTTTAAGGTCGTTTGGCACTGTTATTGTACATGGAGTATTGTACATGTGGAGCCCTACAGCTCAGTGGTTAGAGCACTCGCTTTGCAAGTGAGAGACCTGAGTTCAATTCCAGGCAGAAGGCGAAACCTTGGGCAAGTTTCCTTACACCACACAGAGCCTAACAATAATCCCTCCAAAACAAAAAAACATAATAAATTGGTCATTTTCAATCC